CTATTTACTGAGTTTAAAATAAAGTGAGAGCAATTTGATATGTAGATATAAGATAAAATATGAATATTCTAAACTTAACAGTTCTTGCTAAGCATGATTGTGCACCATTGTCTAGTGTTTGCTATAGGTGCACACATATGGACTTTGTGGTAACTTGACTTGTTCTGCAAGTGTAGGCCTTCTGAAGGTTATAAATTGGTGAGTACATCCAGTAGTAATCTACTCCACCTAAATATACTCTCTTTTAATAGCACCAGAATACTCATTGTATTGTAAGCAAGCTCAGGCTTAAACCCATGACTTAGACCAGATTTGGGCTTGGCTTAGACTCAGAACTCAGTTCAATGTTATCACAAGCCCAAGTCAGGCCTGCACATTACTAGCAAGAGACCAGGAGTTATGATTTCCGAATGTAATGAAGAAATGTTCTGTTGGAAGAAGCACTTTGAAAGCTAGTTCACTTTTAGACTAAAATCTGTCTAACTCTCTATCTTCTTTGATACTTGAGCTATTAACTTGAAACTTGGTATATACATGGCTCTAGCATAGATATACATGTCGAAAATTGTTTGATCATATACAGACCAGTTTTGGCTCTTTAGCACTGTGTTTTATGCTTGAGCTGGGGACTTAAACAAATTTCACACAAAGGCCACTTTGAAAAGGCATAACATCTAGGTGATCTTTATACTATCAGATAGAGCATGTTGAGAGAGTCCAGAATATATAAAAAGATATGCCAAATTAATTGTTTAAAGTGATAAACTAAAGAAAACAAAGCACAAGAAAACACCAGATTAAGAGCCCGATAAGCGCCATACTACAATTTGCCTTCTTCAGCATTTCCACTGTTCCTCACACATCCATATTTATCTATGTCATGTAGCATAAGGTCTGCTATATACATACTAGCTGTGTACTCAGTATGAGAATGGTTTAAAGCTATACTTTAGAGACAAAATGCTTGCTACTGGCTTTGAATTTCAATGCACAGTGTTGTGCAGTGGATTGTAGGCTTGATAGTGACTAGAATTGCTTATAGCTTTGGATTATGGTTAGATATACTGTGTGATACTGGTGTAAATATGTGGGGAATTATAGCAATGTGTTTGGAATTACTAGAAATGTGCCATATGCTCAGTACTTTTGCCTCCCTCTGCAGATCAATACTTGTTCATAATTTGCACAAATATTTAGAGAGCATCTTGAACTATGCTTGAAAGTGTTAGACCACAATAGTGCGCATTTTTCGGATATATAAGCTTATGATCAAGCATATAATCATGATCTTGTGCATAAAGTTTAATTCTTCAAGCTCCCACATTTAGTGGCTGCTCTACTCCATTCTACCATGTCAGAACACTCAGAGATATCTTATAGAAATATATAGTCATACTATCTGTTATGATATCACTTCATTTTAACCTTCAAAACCAAAAATCATCGAAATAAAAAAGATCCCCCAGTCAAAATTGAACCCCCAACCTTTACCCAATAAAGCAACTGCTCTCTGAAAATGTGCAACTAGGAGTGGTATATCAGGCTGGCTGCATCAGGAATACAGAGAATTAGAGCTGTTGAATGAGGTCACAAGGCTACAGTACCATAGAAAAATTCCTACAAGTGTTGGTGGAGTAACAAGGAAGCAGGTGATCTACACATACAGACAGTGGATGGAAGATGACTTTGTACCCAACAGCATGCCCAAACATATCAGATGGTCAAAGGAACAGCCATGGCCAAGCTATGAGCCTGATAATGATGAAGGCTGGAGAATTGTAACCAACAAGTCATCAAAGAAGAATAGTTATCAGTAGAAGGATAACACCCAGACTTCTCAAACTGCAAGGAAAAGTCGAACAAATCCTGGAGTATTTGTGGCAGCTAAGGGTACAACAGCTTTGAAGACACTGAGCAATGACAAGAAGCCAGTGAAAAGGTGAAAAAAAGTTGAGCACAGAGGCAGAAGAAGCTGGAGTTGTTACCACCAAGCTCAAGAAGCTCAGACTTGATCATAATAATGCCATGACCACTCAGAAGTGGGGCTTTGATTGGAGTGAATACAGCTGTGCCTATGATAGTCTGTTTGCTATACTGCTTCAAGCACTATATGATTCAGTCCAATTAACTTGGAAGTTGTCTTCAAACCAACTACCTATGTTAATCTCACTTGTCAAGGCATGCAAGTCAGCAGAAAGAAAGGACTTGTCCTTGAACACTGCCAGAGATTCAATTAGAACTAAGCTACATGGGCTAGACCCTGTAGAGCTCCTACTGCATACCAATGAGGGTACTGAGATTCATGAGCTGTGTAACTATATGCTTGAACCATCAGAGGACTTCTAGCACAAGGAATAAATGTGCACATCATGTAGGACCAGTTAGATAACTTGTAGAAACAAGAATGTGACCTATTCTAACTTGCTCCTTGTATGTTCTCTATATAGATGGCAGAGGCAAGGCATTATGAGTGGACTTGTTGATGAGAGAACTCCACTAGAGTGGTTACATGCTAACACAAGATAAATAGCTAATACAACATGCAATAGCTGTAGTACTAAGCTAGTAAAAAAAAGTAATCATAGGTAATATGCCTCAATTCCTTAAATTCAAAGTTGATGAAGTTACTGTTAAGTGGGCTTCTATACTGGACTTGGACAGGTGCAAGTACAGGCTATGTAGATTTATTTATTATGGCAATGAGCACTTTACAGCAAGGATAGTTGGTGCTGATCAGCAAGAATATGATAGATTGAAGTATGATAGTATATATCACTTAGAATCCCAGCTTTGTAATATGACACCAGTCCAACTTGCCAATAGTTCAGATGGATATAAGCTGGACTTTGGATTTTATAGTCAGATGTTGTAAATAAACAATATAATAGTTTGCAAGTTGTTATTATTATTTATGTGATAGGCACATTATTCATAAGATTTACATAATAAAATAATGAAGGATTGCTGTCAACATATTTTGCAAAGTGATAAAGTGATAAGTACTGCATATTGCTTTAAGTCTCATATAAATAGTAAGCTATTATATCTGAGTTATTATTATTTATGTTGCAGTATAAAAGAAATGAAAAAATCATACCTGCCAAGTATATATGCTACAGCCCACATAACCCTAGTGCAAAGTCTGTGGCTCTAAAGGTTACAAAGCAAAATGATTGCACAAAAATACTAAGTGCCAGCACTGCAGCAAACCCAAACATTAGAAGAAGCTCTGCCTATCAAGGTTAATAAATCAACTCCCTCAAACTCAACAAGG